GGTGACACCCCCACGTGCCCCAGGCCGGGCCAAGCCGCAGTGGGGTCCCTGTCCCTTTAAGAGCAGGGCTGGGCTGAGCCGAGCCGGCGGGGGTAGCTCCGCTCCCGGCTGATCCCGGAGCCTGGGCTGAGAGCCAGGCTCGTCTCCTGCACCAGCTCTGGGCGAGGCTTTGCTGCGGCTCCCCCAGTCCCCCCTGGCCGGGCCGCCGCATGGTAGGGGCGGGTTGCATGAGGCAGGGCAGGACCCAGTGGGGCCGAGGGCTGAACAGGCCCGGCAGGGGGCTGCTGGAGGGGGGAAGCTGGGGAAGGGGTGATGCGGAGGAGGCAGAGGGGCGCAAGCCGCAGCAGGACCCCAGCCCCCCGGGGGAGGGGATCTGGGGCCAGCCCAGAGAGGCAGGAGCAGCCCCGAGGGTGCTGGGTGCATGCAGGGCAGAGCCCCGGGAGAGCCCCACGGCGGGCAGTGCTGCAGAGGAGGAGCCCGCGCCCCCCGGCGGGCGAGGGGAGCCCCAAGCAGGGGGAACCGGGCCGCCCGCACCCATCTCTCGCGGCCACTCCATACTGCTCCCAGTACCGCTTTCCGCCAGCGCGGCTGCCCTGTCAGCCGCTTTTGGGTCTTTAAATAGCCGTCCGGGGGAAATCCCAGACATTTTTAGTTTTTTACAAATTCCCCCCAGACGGCTATTTAAAGACCCAAAAGCCGGACATGTCCGGGGAAACCCGGACATGTGGTAACCCTAGGTAAATTTAGTTACATGCAGACAACGGCTTAGAGTCAAACATACCAACATTGTTACAAACTGGATAGATTCTATCCCCATCTTTGCTGTCTAGAGGAGCTGTTTTTTCAGGATGACACAGTTATTCAGTACGTTCATTTATTCTCTTGAGTAGGAGCTTAAGTCTGTCCACTTTTGCCTTAGCTTCTAGTTCCTACAATCGAATATATGCCATTTTTTGTTCATGTTCAAAGCCCAGGCATTCTCCTTCCATATCAGCTATTTTTTGCTTTTGTTCAAGTTCTAGCTGCTGGCTTTGCACTGCAAACATTTTCGCTGGGTCTGCTTCCTTATCACTGGCAATTAACAGATTTTTCAGTTCCTGCTCTGCGGCCTTTTGCTTAAAATACAACCCTCTCTGTAAGCACAATTCTTCCAGGCTTTTTCAATCAGGATCTTGATCATGGGTCACTCACTGAGTTTAACCCTTAAACTCTCCAATATCAAAATTAAATTTTGACAAGCATTCGGTTCTGATCCAAAAACCCAATTAGCCTGCGGTAATGTGCATCCACGCACGACTACGCCACTGTGACCAGGGTCCGAGTGAGGAACCAGCTACGGTCACTCAATTAGGGTGAACGGCAAAGAATGGGGCAGCCAAACCCCCAAAAGCTGGTGGATATTCCAATACTTAGATTTACCAAGCCAGCATAAAACAGCTTCTTTATGACCTTACTGGTTACTAAGAAGTCCAAACAACACCGTTCCCTTCAAGTGATGCAGCCTCAGGCCTCCATCCAGGTACCCACGTCAAATATGATGACAACTTCTGTAAATCTTATTTCATCATATAAAAGAAAAGGTTCTACCAATCCCAAAGGATCAGACACATTACCTCCCAGGTTAATGAATGTTTCAGATCTTACACGCTACAGCCAATTCTTATTAACTAAACTAAAATTTATCAAAAAAAAAAAAAAAAGAGAGCATGGTTAAAAGATCTATACACATGCCAGACAGAAGTTCAATTAATTGAGGTTCAGATTCACAGCAGAGAGGGTGAGCTTTGTAGTTGCAGAGTTCTTTTAGAGTTCAGGTCATAGTCCAATGTCCAAATCTCATATTCAGGGCGTACCAGCATAACTGGGACCTCAGTCTTGTGACTCAAACTTCCCCTGATGAAGCCTAAGCAGATCTGAGATGACAGAATCAGGACCCCAGGATATTTTATACAATTGAATGTCCTCTTTGACAAGTTGGGATTTCCTCAAGAAAAAAAGGTCATTAGGATGACTTTGAAGGAGGTCCATCATGAGTACTTAGTTATAGGAATTAACATAAGGCCATTTGCTTTTTTCCTCCACCATTCACGGTACATTTCAAAGAGAGATGAATACCGAGGTATCCCGTGTTTACAATTCATTTAAACGCTAGGATGTTCTTTTGACCTCTGAATTATCAGAATACAACACAGACAGGGACTGTTGATTACATTGTGGACCCTACTCATACATATTATTATATGCAGCATCCATTAATCAGTCTTTGTTGACCCACATCTTTGACTGCTCTGCCTTTCTGAGTCTAGTGCAGGGGTAGGCAACCTATGGCATGCATGCCAAAGGCGGCACATGAGCGGATTTTCAGTGGTGCTCACACTGCCCGGGTTCTGGCCACCAGTCCGGGGGGCTCTGCATTTTAAATTAATTTTAAATGAAGCTTCTTAAACATTTTAAAAATGTTATTTACTTTTACTAGTGAAAGCTTCCAGGTTCTATTCCCAGCTCTGCCACTGACTCACTCTGTGACCTTGGGCAAGTTATTTCTACTCGGTGCTTCAGTTTCCCTCTCTGTGAAATGCCAGTGACAGCAACCTGCCTTTGTGCTCTTGGATCTACTGATGAAAAGTACCTGCATAATAGCTAATTATTGCCCTCCTTAGATCATAAGCTCTTTGCAGCAAGAAATTTCTCTAGCTCTATATTTTGTGAAATATGGACGTTGATGGTTCAATCTGAATGCCTGCTGGTGACAACTGGTTTTAAAGATAAGGTATAGTGGTCTGCTAGAGTCTCAGCACTAGGAGAGGACAACATTGTCTGGAATCCTCTTCAACTAATCTGAGATCATTCAAGAAATTTCATTTGTATTGTTCACCCATCATGGGGGAGTAATGATCAAATTCCTTTAGAAACTAATTTCATTCTCTGACCCTAAACAATTTACATGATCAAAAACATGGGCAGCGGGTATAACAGGCCAGGGCTGGCGCTGTTGGTGCCGCCAGATCCCCGGTTGCAGGGTTTTGGAGGAAGTTTTTGATTTATTATGCCCCATGAAGGTTTCGGGGCGGTTCAGGAGGCGATATATGCTATTCAGTTTCCCGGGTTCATCAGTAATCTCCCTGGATTTGAGAGAGATTACTGACGAATCCAGGAAGCTGAGTAGCAAATACCCTTCCTCAGCCACCCCAGAACCTGCATGGGGCATATCAAAAGTATCTTCGGACAAGAATGAGAGGCTTGGGGCCTGGAGATGGGAGGTGCGGCTGGGGCTCCTCTGAGCAGGTGTGTGTGGGGGGGTCGGGGAATTGTGGCTCCAGCTGCGGGGGAGGGGGTCTTAGGGCTCTGGCTGTAGGGAGGGTTCCTGAGGGGGCACAGTCAGGGGCTAACCTCCCCTAAGGGGGGCTCCACTCCCCACCCATGATCAGAAAGTATACCATGTGACAGGATACGATTAAACAAACCTACTTTAGGAGATCTAGGTCCTGTTCACAACTCTTGAACTGACTCACTGTATCTGATCTTGGGCAAATCATGTCTCTCTCTCTAACTGGGTGTAACAGCAGCAGCCCAGCCCAGAGGCCGTTTGTGGAGCTCAGGCCTGGTCTACACGGCCTTGTGTCGACCTAGCTGTGGCAATGCCGTCACTTAAATTTGGCTCCCACCACTGTAAGTGCATCGCTACGCCAATTTAGTAACACCACCTTACCAAGCAGCGTAGAGTCACAGTCAATGTAATTAGGTCAATGCAGTGTCAGCGTAGACACTGTGCTGCTTACATCGACTGTTACTGGCCTCCAGGAGCAGTCTCACAATGCTCCCCCCGACAATGCAATCAATACAAGCACTGCTGTTGAGGACACACACTGCTGACACAACGACCCCAGTGTGCACTCACACAAGTGATATAATAATGACAGTGGCTGTATGCCAGCGTAAGCTAGATAACAATGTTGGTCAACAAGGCCTTAGGTTTTTTGCTTGTTTTTAAAAGCTCTGAGCAGGTAAAACTTGCTGTCAAAGAGCAAAATACCTTGCCGCAACCTCCAGTTCAGATTTCAAATGTGTTTGCTTCACTTGTCTTTGCCTCCTAAGGTAAAAGTACATTTTGCTTCAGTTCAAGGTACATCAGGCTGCAGACAGGATGTTTCACAAGGCAACCAAAGACCTGGCAAAGCAGGTGGCTCCAGATGGAGATCTGTTCCCAGTTAGCAGCCTTATTGACCAAGATCACTTCAGACCCCTATACCTCGTTCGAAATAAACCAAAAAAGGGATTCTGGATGACTCGTCACCGCTACTACAAAACAGGAGTTCAGCTCAGTGACATTCTGGTACCTGGACAGGACAGCAGAAATCTAGGTAATGCCAGTCTTCCCACGTTATTTACCCGTCCAGTGTGGCAACACTGCCTGCAGCATCCTGGGCTTGAGCGGCTGTTTTCTTTCAGTGACTGGCCAGGGAATTATGCGGCTTGTGTCTGAGCTCTGTCAGGCCACATCCTTCCTGTGTGCACAGGAGCTATGGGCCATAATTACGTATTAATGGTACAAAAAGAATGTGTTAACTCTTGCAGGGTTTCTCTCTCCCCCCTCCCCACAGATATCCAGGATTCACACTCAATCACTGTTGAGGATTGCACTGATGGCAGAGTAGAGTGGACTATTAAGCTGCCTGAAGACTTTGTGAGTACGGAAATGATGCTAGATGCTGGCAGCTACCAAGTGAAGTCCATCAAGGTGAAAAGAGCAGAGGTCAGCCCAGCAGATCTCGAGTTTCTACAAGGAGAAAGGTGAGGCTGGCAGAAATGGGGAGAAGGAAGGAAATCTCTAACTTATGCAGTACAGTAACTCACTTAAAGTCATCCTGGTTAACGTTGTTATGTTGCTGATCAATTAGGGAACATGCTCGTTTAAAGTTGTGTAATGCTCCCTTCTAACTTTGTTTGGCAGCTGCCTGCTTTGTCTACTGCTTGCAGGAAAAGCAGCCCGTTGCAGCTAGCTGGTGGGAGCTTGGAACCACTTTCCCTGGAACCTAACCCCCTCATTTACATTAATTCCTATGGGGAAATTAGATTCCCTTAACACTGTTTCGCTTGAAGTCGCATTTTTCAGGAACAGAACTACAACGTTAAGTGAGGAGTTACTGTAGCTACCCATGGGCCCATGTCAGCTGCTGAGACTAGCTGTAACAGGGCCACATCTCATTTCCCCTGGCTGCACCTCTCACCAGTACTATGAAAGGAGATGGAATAGAGGCTTCCATGGCTCTGTGCAACTCAGGGATTCTGCTTAGATCAGAGGAATTCCCTGGTGGACACTTAAGCCAGCTTTCCTCTTGATTTCTGCCCCCAGAGTGGCAAATCCAAGAATAAGGGGAGCCGGTATCAAGACTCTACACTAACCTACAGAAAGAAACTCAGTAGTAATGCAGAGTCCACTTTTTTTTTTTTTAGGAAAATCAACATGGACCATTCCATCATTAAGGATTTAAGGAAGCGCAGAGAGAACTTGTATGTGATCAACGAGGCTGTACAGGCTTTGGAGGAGAGCACATTATACAAGGCCAACGCCATGGAAGGCAACATTCTGAATGACATCTGTGTCCATTTTTCATTAAAGGTTCAATTTCTATCTAGATTCAGGAAATGTGTGGTGGGGGGGAGAATAGCCCCCTCTTTTTAGCACATCTCTGTGCTGTGTGAGCTCGCTAACTCCTCTTTCCATGAACCAGGGCACCAGAGGCAGCAAGCGTGTCATAGTTATCCCTAAGGACTGTGTCCTGGCGTTCAGAATCAAGCCGCTAATTATTCAAAGTGAATCATGGGGTAAGTATCATCCCGAAAACTCCAGCTCATCCACTAGGTGGGAAAAAAGCAATACACCAGAAATGAACTTCCCAAGATGTAACTTGTGTGTTACAGATATTTGGTAGTGGTATTTTCAGGCCTAAATACTGCTGGTCAAAATCTGAAGGAAAAAACAAACAAACCTGAGGCATCAAATAACTCTTCAAAGGTTATAAATGGTCATTTCCCTTTTTCTATCTTCCCAGGCATTTCCCATCATCCGGATGTTGAAACATTTGTTGCAGACGGTAAACAGAACATTTTGCCATCTTCATTTGTGTTAATTCTCTTTCTAAACCGTGATTTTTAAATCAGTTTAGTTAAAATAGTGTAACTTTGTGTATGGACACTCATATCAATTTAATCCTGGCTTAGAGCTGTTTACCTTGCACCAGTACGTTTATAGGGGCAAACTAAATTGATATAGCCAGTTTTAAACCATTGCAGGGCCTTGCACCAGTTTAATCTGTTTTTAAACTCTCTTAAGTTAAACCAGTGCAATCTGTATGTAGACAAGCCCCCAATGTTGCTAATACGGATGTGGCTGAACCAATCTTAGCAACAGTGGGAATTTTTTTGAAAATTTCCAGTGTAAACAAGGCTAGTCCAGAGGGATTCTTTTAGTCAGTTCATGACAAATTAAATTTATTAACAAGGATAATGGCTTTCCTCAAATATACGTAGCCTTTATACTGACACAGTGGAGTGGAGTAAAATGGAGGTAAGATAAATGCACGTTGGTGTTGACAACAATTCGTAATTACAAGAGCTCAACTTCAATGATAATTTTTCTTCACCTCTCTGCCTTCACAGGTGCAACAGCAGAACCTAATTACTCCCCAGGTAGGTAGCTCTTTAGAACATCCTCATCCAACATCAGGATACAATGTAGACAAATCCTTTCAGGGTGGTTCTGACCTTATAAGTCATTGCTCAGGGAAGCCACCTAGAGATACGTAGATTTCCCAGACTTTTCACTCTGCAGAGCACTTCATAACAAAGAAATCCTCTCACAGACCCACCTCTTTTGACATCCCACTGCTTCATTCTCAGAACATTTCACTCTAAACTACCAGAAAGGTCCCTACAGACTATGGAAATATCCACAAGCCAGCTTGAAAAATATTACTCCAGAGCTTGATGATGTCTGCACCACATAGGTTATAAAGATTTGTTTCTGGACTGTATACTGAGTTTCAGGGTCTGACTGCTTCCCAACTTTGCACCTTTACAGTCACGAACGCCTGTGCAAAATGGATGTAAAATGCTACCGATTCAGAACTTACTCATACCCACTGAAATGTTTTACATCCATTTTGCACAGGTGTAAGTGATGCACACATTGTTTGCACAGGTGTAAGTGATGACACAAGGTTCAAAGGAGTGGTGAATCATGCTCACAAGGTACATTCTTGTCATCTCTCATACAGAGATCTCATATGCAGGATCTGAAATTTCACCAGATGCCACAGCATGAAAATCAAAATTGACACCGTTTAAGTGGCTTATATAAGCCAGTGACAATTTATGTTGACTTTCATGTGATTTGGGTATTTCTCACTTATCAGAAAGCAGCATCAGAATGTCCGTAAACAAAAATTTGACGTAATTGTGTAACAATTTCATCTCTCACTGTACTTGTCAATGTAAAGTGATGTAAACCTGACAATCATCATACACAATTCCTTGACAAAGCAACGGTTTATGCTGCTGTGCATTTCATATAGGCTACCCTTAAACTGTGGCTTGGAAATATTTTAATGGACTAATCTTTTTTTCAGTGAAGGAATTAGAATGAGGTGACTTGTATTCTAGTCTAGGCTCGGTTATTAACTCATCATGTGACTTTGGACAAGTGATTTCTGTAACGTGGAAAAATATTCACTTTAATAAGAAAACGTCTCAAAATCGTAGGATGGCAGGCATTACTGAGAACAAAGTAACATGGGATTCTCTGAATATTCACAGAAGCCTTTCCAAATATAAGTTTTCCAGATCTAAATTTTGAGTCCTGTCTGACACTTTTGAACTGGGACTAGCAGGTAATCCTGCATTCTGACTCTCCTCCGTTGTTTTCAGATGGAGGAATGGAAGGCCTACAGAGCGACGTTGAAAAAGAATGTGCAAAGCTCTCACAGTTGTCCACAGATCTGCGTGCCAAGTTCTTAAAATCAATCATAGCCGTGATAATAAACAGCGACCTCTTGCAAGAACTCACACTCAAGGTAAAGCTCCTTTTTTCAGTCATTATGGGTTTAGAGACACACACACACACACCCCCCACTCGGAGTTCCTTCCTACCCTGTGACCATCTGTCAGTCCAGCACCTTCTGATCTGGCCCCCATTGCCATATAAGCAGATAACTAAACGCACAACCCCAGCCTTGCTCTGGAGGGAAGATAGACAGAATGACTCGGTAGGCCTCTTCCATCTAACTTCTATGAGTATCTTTTAAAAAGGAGCACAGATATTCCTACATCTGAATATGCCAATGGACCATTTCATCCAGTATCCTGTATCTTACAGCAGCAAATGTGAATATTCAACTCCCCTAATCCCCAGTTGTGCTACAGTAGATAGCTGAGGTTAGGAAAAATATGGTCATCCAACAACCCTTTCCTCCCAGCACAGTCAGATGCATACTTCAGTACATCACATGACCACGCTGGATTAGTTTCTCTCAGTAGCCTCCAACTCTTAGTCCTGAAGCTTTTTTTCCCCCTCCCCTAACCTGCAGCTAGAAGAGGCTTTTGAAGATGCTGATAAATGTGAGCTAAAGAGTGAGAATCCAGACTTGGAAGACTTGCTAAACAATTTACAGGATTCTGCAGGAAGCATAGATCTTTACTTAGTTGGGCCAGTTCTCTACACTCTACAGGCACTTGGTGGTAAGAATAAGTTCTGGGTATTTTAATGGGGGCACCCAACCACAGCAGAATATAAGAAATGAGTCTGCCTATGAAGAACAGAATGAATGATGAAGGCGAACTCGCATGGTTCAGACATTCCTTAGATTCTTGGCTGGGCAGGGTGCAGAGTCTGCTGAGAATTTGGACCTGCTTTTGGCAGCCATTGCCAGCTAACACAGTGTACCATTTGCCAGACATAGCATTGTGATGGAGTTTGCATCCCGTTATGGCATCCTATTGAGGCACCCACTTGGAAACACAATGCATTGGGGAACCCAGAACATAGCACACAGAGGACCTGAAACCTCAGCAAGAACCTGAGGAAGGGTGGTTAAGTAACAAGAGTGGGGGAATCAGGACTCTCTGGTTCTATTCAGTTTTGCCGCAGCTTGTTCTGTAACTTTGGGCAAGCCACTTCCTCCCTTGTCTGTGCCTCTGCTACCCCATCTGTATAACGGGAATAGTAATTTCAACAACTCACCCCCTCACAAGGATAGTAAAACTTAATATTGAAGTGTTTTGAGATCATCAGAAGGGAGTGTAGACAACTGATGATTATACACCTGGGCTTGTCCACCCTCTGCACTTGCCCTCTTACCGCCCAGAAAGAAACCCTTTTCTCACATGATTTCTTCTTTTCCAGAGCTAACTGAGGATCAGTTACTGCGGCTGGCACAGTCTGTGCAGAAGCAGATTGTATCCAAACAGCTCGAGCTGGTGAGAGAGAACGCCAGTGAAATACAGCACCACACATCTCTCAATGAAGTCTTCCCTTTTGTGGTTTTAAAGCAAAGCTATGATTAGATCAGGGCATAAGTAGCAACACCACAGCTTGAAGTGATGCAAGGAGGAAGGGTTACTACAGGCTTCAAACAAGGCCCGGATCATAACTGCCCACTTTCAGAGAGATCCACTAAAACACGGAGGCCCAAATTTTCTGACCCTGAGGGCCGCATGGCATCTACCCAGGAAGCCATGGGTGGCACCTAGATTGCAGATACAGGATATGCCTAAAAAACTGAACAGAAGCAACCCTACCAATTGTTGGAATTTTTATTCTCCTTAAGAGATGAACAGAAATTACTTTGTAATTTGAATTCAGCATGTTCTAGCTGTGCTGTTGCCCAGTGTAACGGGGTTGCACTCACCTCTCATGAGCACCCCTTGCCCGAATGCTCTCTCTCTCTGTGTTTGTGGTGGGTCTTTGCTGACTCAGCCCACCGGCCAAGTCATACACAGTCTGTCTGTGAGATAAAAGCAAAGCAAACCCTTTTTGTGGTACAAGTCTAACAGGGCTTCTCTCCGTGCCCTCTATAATGTCTCTCTGTTTGTCCGGAATACAGCAGTGCCCCAAAGCTCCTTCGCTGGAGGCAGTGTCTTCGCCTTCGCAGGGCCTTTCTGGCCCCAACTCTTCAGCTGGGCCACTACAGTTCTGTTCCCGTTCTGGGGTGCCTCCAAGTCCAGGCTACTTTCCCAGTGGCTGGGGGGGGTGGGGGGGACCCAGGCCCACCCTCTACTCCAGGTCGCAGCCCAGGGACCCTATAGATAGCAGCCATCCATAACATCCCTTAAAATAAACGGTGTTGCTGCTATAATTCCCTTGGCCACTTTCCCATGGCTCCCACACATTCTTCACCCTTACCTCAGGGCCTTGTCCTCGTAGAGTCCCAGCACCCAGCCTGGAGCACCAGCCACTCTCCTCCTGCTCTAGCAAGGAACTAAACTTGCTCTGGCCCTGGAGCTCTTCTTATACTGCCCTGCTGGGCCCTGATTGGCTGCTTCCCACACAGCTGCTCTGGGCAGCTTGGAGGACCTATCTACTGCCCTTTTCTGGGGTGGGGTGTGGCAGGGCCACAAGGCCTCCAGCAGGGGGCCTCAGGGCCCTAGTCGTCCCATCACACACAGTTTTACCCTCACTCAGCAGTTACTGGGAGAACCTATCTGTGGGTTGCATTTGTATGTCATGCTCCTGCTTTAAAGGCAAAATACTCACTTTTAGGGAGCAACTAATCCAGGAAAAATTGGAAATCAATAAGTGTTTATCATGATCTTAACAGAAAATAAGAATCTTAGTTCTAGTAATGCACATTTACCCACAGCACCTTTCACCCTGAAGGATCTCAGAGCACTTTGCAAACTGAAAGACAGAGATCATTTTTACATCCACTGCAGTGACTCCGGTTGAGTTCTGCGGGTGATTTCTGGCAGAGGCTTATTCCTGTAGCAGCCAGAGATTTAACATTTTGATTTTGCTTCTTTGTTGTTGCAAAGGTCAAGAGCATCTTGAAGCAAGAATTCCACCTGAAAGACGCTTTCAGCCTGGATGCCAAGCTGGTCTCCTCCCTGCAAGAGGAGGAACTGAACATAACCAAGGCAATGATAGAGCTGGGTGGAGTAACACTGCAGAGAAATGGACCTTCTTTCACTGGGACTGGAGACCTGGCTGCTTTCTCAGCCCTCAGTGCATTGTATGTAGCCTTGTATGCTTTACATCTTCTGTCTAGATCAGAGTAGATAGGACACCTTTCCTCACATTAGAAGGGATGTCAATAGAAAGACTGAAAAAATATTTCCTGAGGTTGATTATGGGAAGTGAGTTTTTCTCTACAAAAAGTATCCCCAATTTTATACACATCCACACACTGTAGCAACCTCACTTTGATCTGGATGAGACTCTCTTCATATCTCCTCAATGCTGCTTCTAGATCAGTAGGTGGGAGAAGGGGATTGTTGCAAGTTGCCTGGCAGCCAAAGGAAGCGAGAAACCAGAACCAAGAATTAAAACAGGTTCTCTCACGAGAACCCATGGCCCAGGATGTCATGAGCTTACCTGCCATATTTTGGCAGAACCGGCCAATGGGAGCTGGGGGGGGGGGGGGCTGCGGGCAAGAGGAGCTGGAGCTGCTGCTGGCCGCTTCAGGCGCAGCACGGTCCGCAGTGCCAGGACGGGCGGGAAACCTGTCTCTGGCACCCTGGCTGCGCCGCTGACTGGGAGCCGCTGGAGGTAAGTCCGCGCCCCAACCCCAATGTTACATTGCATATGGAAACATCGGGGGGCACAACTGCCTAGAGAACAGCCACTAATTATAACCTATAAGTAATGTAGTAAGCCCTCCCCCCTACTCTACTAGACAGCCTGGACCCAACCTTCTCGGGCCCACTATAATGGGAAGTCTGGAACACTAATTGGAATAGGCATGGTATGCCCATACGAGAGAAGGTGCAGGGCACAGTACTACACAAGAGGCAGATGGAATATCAACACCTTCCATCTTGATTCCTGGCCCTATCAGGAAGTGTGTCGCCATATGTCCTATGCTTTTCCAGGGATACCTGGACAGGAGGATCCCAAAAGAAAAGGAATGAAAAAAGGGGAGGTGGAGTGTTAGGATATAGATATTCAGGCCTATCTGTAAACGCCTATACTTTAAGAATGTAGGTATATGTTTATCACTTAGCTAGTTATAGAGGTACAAAAGAATCAAAATCACTGTCTGCCGGTGTCAGGGCCTTTTCTCACTGTGACAGTTTGAGGCCCTGTTCTTAAGCTAAGGCCTTTGGCTAAGCAGTGGGAGCAGCCATAAACTGGAAAGCATCATGTCGTCACACATTTCAAATCAGTCATATTGAACTAAGGCAATCTGGGGCTGTAAGAAAGGGGATCCGATCCATCCCCTCCAGAGAAAGGGAAGAGCCTAGAAAATGTAAAAGGAAATTTAGTTTGATAGTTTTCTGTTTGGTAAGAACTCACTAACCAATAGACATAGTTGGGAAACCCTTATGCCTTTAAAAAGCAACAAAGAGTCCTGTGGCACCTTATAGACTAACAGATGTATTGGAGCATAAGCTTTCCTGGGTGAATATCCACTTCATCAGACGCATGCCTTTATAGATGTAGTTATGAAATCCTCATTTCTGTATTGTTTTGTCATTATACTTCCCACTTTGCTATTGTTTATTTGCATGGTCTCGGTCTGGTTCTGTGATTGTTTCTGTCTGCTGTATAATTAATTTTGCTGGGTGTAAACTGATTAAGGTGGTGGGATATAATTGGTTAGCTAATCATGTTACAATAGGTTAGGATTGGTTAGGTAAATTTCAGTAAAATGATTGGTTAAGGTATAGCTGAAAATATTACTATATAAATTAGGGGCAAACAGGAAGTAAATGGGGATTTGAAAATAAGGGAAAAGGAACTTGGATTTAAGCTTGCTGGAAGTTCACCCCAATAAACATCAAATTGTGTGCACCTTCGGAGTTCGGGTATTGTTGCTCTCTGTTCACACGAGAAGGATAGCATAAGGCCACATTAGGTCTAATATAAGTTAGCATAAGTAAGTAACCTTGGGTCAGAAGATTTAGCAATATGTATCTTGTGGTAGACTGTTAGACCACAAAGTAATAGTTCAGGTTTTATCTAGCCAGATTTTGGTACTTTCCTAACAGCACTGCATAAAGAAGCATGGCAATTCCTATTAGCACAAACGCTTGCGACAACCGTGGAACCCCAAAACCGGATAGCAGTAATGACAAACATGGACAAGAGGCAAATACTTAATCAAATATGGTCTCAGAAATAGGTGGGTGTAAGAAATGGGTGGTGTGAGTAATAGGTGCATAAAAAGTAACCAAACATGACCCTCAGCAAGTCCTTAGGATGACAGGATGTTGGCAACCTTCACATTTATCTCACCTTTAATGGAAACTCACAGCCCTGAGGATTTGAGAGTGTATACACGATGCAAATTCTGCTGTCATCTTTATCCTGTTTTTCTAGTTCTGATAAGGTGGGTGAGGTAATATCTTTTATTGGATCAACTTCTGTTGGTGAAAGAGACAACCTTTCGAGCTAGAGAGTTCTCCTCCTGAAGAAGAGCTCTGTGTAGCTTGAAAGCTTCTCTCCTTCACCCACCGAAGTTGGTCCAATAAAAGATATTTATTACCTGACCCACCTTGTCTCTCTGATATCCTGGGACAAACACAGCTACAACCCTACAATTTTCTAGTTCTGTAATTTTGATTATGGTATTAATAAAATTCAATGTCTCTGTGTGTGTCACCAATCATCTTCTTCACACTTAATCTTTAAGTAGCTGCCAAAAAACGTACCTGTTATTAGTAACAAGTGCATTTTGCACCCCAAATTAATCATAAGGCAACAAAGGCCAAACAAACTGACCTTTAAATAATGCTCAATAAATATAGGCTTTGTCTGTGTTTCTACTACTATTCTTAGTTACTTTTACATTCTATATCCTCCTCCTTTTTGTACTGCACTGGTGGTGGTTGGGTTTGGGGGTTTTTTATGGCTGGGGTGGTTTTTTTTGACTGTTTGTATAGCAGGGAGCCCTGATCCTGACTGGAGCCTCTGGGCACTGCTACAATACAAATAAAAACAATCCCTTTCTGTAGGTTTATGGCAGATGTTTTTAAACACAAGTATCTATTCACTGATAAGCTGAGCAATTCAAAATATTTTCTTAATGTTAGATTACTTCTGAATTCCAGGTACTTTACGCCTGTCTAATTATATGTTGCACTCCTTCCGAGACCCCTGGGAATATTGTGAAGAAGAGGGCCTGAGGTCCCTGGGGGGTGAATTCAAGTCTGTTGTATAAAGCACCCCATGGGCTTGTCTACCCTAGAAAGTTTCACCACATTAACTATACCCATATAGTTAAAGGAGCAAACCCTTCCCTAGTTTGGGCAGTTATACCAGTATTAAAGGGCCTATATTGTATAGCCTATTCTGGTTTGGGAAGTGAAATTTGCTATACCATTATTGAGAACCTTTATACTGATATAACTGTCTACACAAACACTTACATTGGTATAACAATATTGGTTTACAAAGTCACACTTCTAACCACATGGTTATACTGGCATAACTTTTCTAACATAGATCAGGCCATATTTACAATATGCCATGACACATGGGCAGAAGCTGTGATCAAAGCTCCACAAGACCATAAGGAGTGTAACACTGATATTGTGGCTTTTGGCATGGGGGTGACTTGCTACCCTGCATCCCCTCACTCCAGCACCAGTCCAGGCCAGGAAAAATTGGGACTCCAACCCAATTAGGATGTTGTGAAGGCCAAGACTATAACAGGGTTCAAAAAAGAACTAGATAAGTTCACGGAGGATAGGTCCATCAATAAAAAGCAACAGAGAGTCCTGTGGCACCTTTAAGACTAACAGATGTATTGGAGCATAAGCTTTCGTGGGTGAATGCCCACTTTGTTGG